AACCGGGACCCATAGACCCTCCGATTGCTCTGGACGTGAAGTCGAGAATGATGTTGGTCACCTGGCAGCATCCTTCAAAGTGCAATGGGGTTATTACCCATTATAACATTTATCAGCATGGCCATCTATACTTGAGAACTTCTGGAAATGTCACTAACTGCACAGTGACCCACTTACACCCGTATACTGCCTATAAGTTTCAGGTAGAAGCCTGTACTTCAAAAGGATGTTCCCTCTCAGCAGAGTCCCAGACCATATGGACACACGCAGAGGCACCAGAAGGGATCCCATGTCCAGAGCTGTTCTCTGACACTCCCACATCTGTGATTATATCTTGGCAACCCCCCACCCATCCCAACGGCTTAGTGGAGAACTTCACAATTGAGAGAAGAGTCAAAGGGAAAGAAGAAGTTACTACCCTGGCGACTCTTCCAAGAAGTCATTCCATGAGGTTTATTGACAAGACTCCTGCCCTCAGCCCATGGACAAGATATGAATACCGAGTCCTGATGAGCACTCGTGATGGAGGTACAAACAGCAGTGCTTGGGCAGAAGTGACCACAAGACCCTCACGACCTGCTGGGGTGCAGCCGCCCGTGGTGACCGTGCTGGGACCTGAGGCAGTCCAGGTAAGAGACTGAGTCTTCCGTCTCCTCCGCAGACTTAGGAATTTACCCTGGATTGACTCTGTGTTGAACAGAGCCATCTGCTGACTAAACAAACACATTTGTTGTTTTAGGCATTCACTGGAGAAACTAGGTTTTGGCCTTTGGCCCAAACTATCTTGAATTCGATGTCAGTTTTTCATTTCTCCCTGTATCCCCTTAATTATATTGTTGAGATGCTTCCATTTGCCTCTCACACCTGAAATACTTTGAATGCCACAATGGGATGCTTAGCTTAACCACCACGTCAGATTTAAATAGATCAGAAAATGAGAAGAGATGGGAAAATACAGAAGAGTGGATTAGCATATTAACAAAATTTCCCATTACCAATATTCTGATATTTTTTAATAATCAAAGAATCAAAATGATGGGGAAAGAAATAAAAATAGCATATTCATGGGCTATCTAGAAAGTGTTCTATTATTCACCTCATTCTATTGGGAATGAACTCTAGAGGACAGGATAACTACCATTGTTTTGGCTGGCATACAAACTTCATTCAAGGGAAATTAGTGTAACCAAACAGGAGGGAGTTTTGTAGCTTAGAAGCCTCTTTTGTGTAAATACACACATGCTTCCATGGATTCAGTCTTGTACTACTGCCAAAAGCATTGGTACAGTAGCTTGCTCACCAGAGCACAAAACAAAGGACATTTGCATAACAGCAAAGTTCATCTGTTGAAATTATTACTTGGATCTATGTTGTGTGTTCTCTCTCCCCAACCAAAGCAAACACTAGGTGATGCTAAACAGTGTAAATTGTTGAAGAGATTTAATTTAGCCTACCAACGAAAAGCTATTTTTAAAAGTCTTTATTAGGTAGTTTTAATATGAGACTGGTCCAAACAACACACCTTTGTGATAAAAATATCAAAAGTGTATGGAATTCTATTGATGAAACACCAAAAGGAAATTAATTTTAAGTGCACAATATACAATGTTTATTATATGAATTGAGCAATCTTAAGAATTGCTCTTCATTGAAAATAAAAACAAAGCAAAACAAAAAGCTCAGACAAACCTAGAATTATTAATCATTCCAAAAATGACTTTTCTTTTCAATTCTGGGGGAGTTTTGCAAAACTTTGGTAGCAGTATAAAACCAATCAATATAATGCAACATAACAAACTCCATCCCTTCACAAAGGCAAGGCTACAGAACGGATGTTGTTCTGCATTCTTTCTAACAAAAATTTTATAACTAGGCATTGCTGATTGCAGCAGATCTGCAAAAGAACAAATATTTTCAGAAAAATAATAACTCAATGTATAATTCTACTGGATTCAGCATATATAAACGATGCGATCAAACATATCCAGAGAAAGTTTTCTTTGTTCTTTTTTTTCCTTCTTTTGATTTTGTAACATCATCCATGAATGAAACAATATACATGGCTTGTCAGCTTGCTAGAGAAGTTTAGACTAGCTTGGCTAGAGAGTTGAATCTTACAGGCACTCACCAGAGGCCCACAGGCATTGGTAACCCCAGGGCAGGAATCTAAAATCTCTAAGAAGGTGCCTGAAATATATGAACATTGTACCCTAGTAATAACTTTTTAGAAACTCACACTTTATATTAATGCCCATTTTATAACTAGGAAATAAATTTATCAATAAAGAGAATCAGCAGGAATGTTGAACCGAATCTAGTATTTGATGCTATACATTGTTTAAATAGTATTAAAATAACGGATTTGTGCTTCAGTATTATTGGCTGCCATTATGTTCAGAAAGATTTTTTTTTTTTTTTTTTTTGAGACAGAGTCTCGCTTTGTTGCCCGGGCTAGAGTGAGTGCCATGGCGTCAGCCCAGCTCACAGCAACCTCAGACTCCTGGGCTCAAGCAATCCTTCTGCCTCAGCCTCCCGAGTAGCTGGGACTACAGGCATGTGCCACCATGCCTGGCTAATTTTTTCTCTCTATATATATTTTTAGTTGTCCAGATCATTTCTTTCTATTTTTTAGTTAGAGACGGGGTCTCGCTCTTGCTCAGGCTGGTCTCGAACTCCTGACCTTGAGCGATCCACCCGCCTCAGCCTCCCAGAGTGCTAGGATTATAGGCGTGAGCCACCGCGCCCAGCCAAGAAAGATCTTAAGATTTTACCAAAGTACATGTCCTGGCAGTAAACAGAGGTAGATGACAGCTAAACAATGACTTCTCTTTGTAAAATATAAGATTTAAAAGTCAAAATTGCAAATAGATTAAATATTCATGAGAAATAACAGGAGGATCATTAATGTATTGGTTAAAAAATTAATTTAACATTTACCACTGAGTTATTCCAAGTATTAGGTTGGATAAAGAAAATTATCAATAATATTAGCAACAATGACACTGATAATTTTAGTTATATTGAAATTTGTAGAACATCAGTAAATAAATACATGTCTTTATGAATGCCTCTTTCAGGCACTGAGGATATAATAAACATCAGAATACAGTCCCTAGCCTCAGGGAGCTTACATTGGAGACAGAATGCAAACAAAAGTATAATGTGCTCAGAAGTGACGAGGACTTGGAGGAAGAAAACAAATCAAGTTCAGAGGAATAGAGAATACCAGACGATAGGGTGGGAGATGACAAAAAGAGTGGAGCTGGTATTTCATCCTAGTTCTTCTCATTTTGTGCCATGTGTTTTCTCTATACAGCGCCACCTGTAAGAATTACAGTCTAATAGGGAAAGCAAGAGAAACTACACTCACACCACTATTACAGAAAATAAATCCAAAGTGACATGTTTGTAACTATATAAAGAGGCAACTGAGCATAGATACGAGCATTGAGAGAGAGAAACTGGAGGCCAGGAATAGTTGGTGGCTCATGCCTGTACTCCTGGCACTTTGGGAGGCTGAAGCAGGAGGATTGCTTTAGGCCAGCAGTTTGAGACCAGCCTGGGCAACATAGCAAGACCCCATCTCTATGAAAAAGTTAAAAAATTACCCAGGCATGGTGGTGTGTGCTCGTAGTTTCAGCTACTCATGAGGCTGAGGCAGGAAGATCACTTGAGCCCAGGAATTGGAGGTTGCAGTGAGCTGTGGTTGCACCACTGCACTCCACCCTGGGCAACAGAATGAGACCCTATCTCAACAAACAAACAAACAAAAAAACAAACAGAAAAAAGAGGTGAATTGGAGAGCACAACTGTATAGATTAAAATCATATTCTTAAAATCTTATTTCATTATAAGAAAATAAATATATAATGTCGAAGAAGTGTCATCTGAAAATGTGTGAAAGCCAGGTGTATTTGATATATAATCACCTAAGAAAATTCATTTCATTTTATAAAGTTGTTAAAAAATGCTCTACCAAGACCTAAAAAAGATAATTCAATAAAACTATAGACTAATTTCATATATGAATATAGATCTAAAATTTTTAAGTAAAAGATTAGCAAATTGAATTAAGAAGCATATTAAAAGAATGATAAATTAAGACAAATGATTTCAAAAAGTTAAGGATGGTTCAACATCAGGAAATCTCTCAACATACATCTTGTCTCAACCAATTAAAAAAGAAAGCCCATATTTTTATCAATAGATGCAGAAAAAGAACTTGTAAAATTCAGTGGCTATTTCTAACAAAAATTCAAAGTAAAATCCGATTAAGAAAAAGGTATATAAATAAGATAAAGTCAAGGTATAGACTAGTACACTGAAGCTTTTGAATTAAACTAATAAGAAATAATATGTAGAAGTAACTAAGTTGCATAACTGTAATGCAGGGAAAAAAACACCCCTCCTTTTCTGGTGATATCATGAGCCTCTCAACCTTGAGCTCCTGCCCATTTTCTCACAGTTAAAGCAGAATAAGAGAGCGAGCCTGCAGTTCTCAATTCTTCTTAAACGGTAGAATCCATCAGCCTGGGCATGTACACCAAAAGTCTGCTTAAATTAAACCATAAACAAAAAATAAAATAATGACAAGGTGAAGAATAAAACACACTAGATTAACAAGGAATAGAAGAGAAAGGACCCAGATAAGCTCAATCAGAAATGAAAAGAGATACTACAACTGATACCATAGAAATACAAAATGTCATTTGTGAATACTGTGAAAATCACTGTGCACATAGACTTGGAAACATAGAGGAAATGAACAAATTCCTAGAAACACGCAACCTCTCAAGACTCAGTCAGGAAGAAATAGAACTCCTGAATAGACCAATATTGAGCAAGAAGATTGAAGCATTAATAAAAAAGCTTCCAACGCAAAAAAGCCCCAGACCAGGTGATTTCACAGCCAAATTTTACTAGACCTACAATGAAGAGCTGATACTCATACTGCAGAAATTATTCCATAACATTGAGAAGGAGGGAATCTTTCCCAACTCATTCTATGAAGCCAGTATCACCTTGATACCAAATCTAGGAAAGGACTCACCAAAAAAAGAAAGCTACAGACCAATATTCCTTATGAATATCGATGCAAAAATCCTCAATAAAATTCTAGCTAACTGAATTGAACAGCACATCAAATAAATAATCCACCATGGCCAAGTGGACTTAATCCTAGGGAAGCAAGGATAGTTCAACATACAGAAATCAATAAATGTGTTTCACCACATAAGCAGAAGTAAAAACAAAGACCATACGATCATGTCAATAGATGCAGAAAAAGCATTTGACAAAATTCAGCACTCTTTCATGATAAAAACTGTCAACAAACTAAGGCATAGAAGGAACATATCACAAAATTATAAAAGCCGTATATATCAAACCCACAGCAAACATCATACTGAATGGGGAAAAGTTGAAAACATTCCCCCTAAGAACTGGAACAAGACAAAGGTTCCCACTGTCACCACTTCTATTCAACATAGTGCTGGAAGTCCTAGCCAGAGCAATCAGACAAGAGAAAGAAATAAAGGGTATCAAAATTGGGAAAGAGGAGTTCAAGCTATCACTTTTTGCTGACAATATGATCTTATATTTAGAACACCCCAAAAACTCCACCTAGAGA